AATTTTGATATCAAAATTCATTTTCAGAATTTTTTTGCATAATATTGTCCATTACAGAAAAATCAAGAACGATTTATCAGTATGGTTTCCTAGGTTCCACCGTAACCACGTTGCACTGGGGCGCGCTATTGAGCACTGGAGCGCGCAATCGGACCGGCGCACGTGTACACCGGTCCTTTGATCGGGACTAAGCCTGGGGCAACATAGCACCGTTTTTCCCACGACCAGCCGGGAGGCAGCCCTCCAAAATTACTTCGGCGCCCGTCTCGCCGCGCAAGCGTCTACCTTGCCGCTTGCGCGACGAGGCGTTCGCTGGACGTAGTCCTGGCGTCTCGCAGGGGAGCACGCCCCCACCTGGGGCCACACTTCTATGCGGCAGAACTGTCGCCTTGCCATACTCCACTTTCTACAGCGATGGCGCTCCGTACAGTTGACGACCACATTCTCGTCGTGGAGGGCGCAGAGAAAACGACGAAAACAAATCGATAACATGTGGCACTGCGCGCCCCACCGCGAACGCGCTTACGGTGGAACCTAGGAAACCATACTGAGAAGTCGTTTCTGTCTAAAAATGCCAATGGGTTTTACAGGCGCTGCTTGAAGGATAACGCCAAATGGTCGAGAAACGGTACTAAAAGCTTTTCAAATTACTCAAAACCGTGTTCCCTGGAAAATGGAGCATCCCCAGATGAGGTTGTGACCCTACCGTTATTTGCCCCCATCGCCATTTTCGTGCAGTTTCGAGCGCGCCAACTGCACGACAATGACGGTAGGGCCTTACAAATTGGGATAATGATGGCTAATGTGATCTAGTGTTCGAGATACCTCGCGCTCACCCCGTGACAAGCAACGTAACTCATGCTCAGCGGCTAATCCAAATATCGCGGGTTAGTGGATCCATGAAGTACGCATGTCAGACAACTCGTCCGAACACACCCCTTATTTCAAGGAGGAAGAGAGGGCGTTCTTGTCCGAGGGCTCCATCAGCGATTTGCTTATCTTCTTTTTCTCGTTTCCAGTCAACACGGCAACCACAATTTCAATCGACCGCTCTTACTCCCTCCCTCCCTTCCCCCCTACAATTTGGTCTAGGATTGTTCATATCTTTCTTTATGTCATTCGATTACCTTAGTAATCCAGTAACCCTGACAAAGAACGGCGACTTGTGCAGATTGATGCAGTAGAACAATGGTGACTGCCATACAGTGTATAGACGCTCCTAAAAAATACATAGCGGCAGTATTTTTTGTACCATAGTGTTAATTGAAAATGTTAAGTACCTGTTCTGTGAGCTTTAAGTAGTCCTCCTCCAAGGCGTCAAAGTACCGCTCCCCGAAGATTGAGTCGCAGTCGCCAGTCGTCACTAATAGTTCGACTTTACGATCCGATTTATCCAATGGATAATTCTAGAATAAATTCATGATTTCTTTTTCAAGCCGTATGGAGCGAAATTTTCTTCATGAAAATTAGGAGAGCATGAAGCCTTTCAAAATTGAACGTTATTTTCACTAACTTTATCAAGTCGCAGTTGTTTTACAGCTTGACGGCATGCGTAGTTGAAATTCGAGCACTTGCCTAAAGTACGTAATACAAATCTGGAGATGCAAGTTAATTACTAATAATTCCGAATTGAAAAACCCTCATTCACCTGGAATATCGCCAGGAAGTCCTTTCGGGTGGAAGGTGACAATGAATCGATCAAACTGGGATCCGTACTTCTCATCAAGCAGTCGTTTTTTCTTAAACAAGTTGTTTTGAGTATCATAAATTAATAAATGAGCATAGTCAGTAGTAGTACTACAACTGTCAATTACTTTTACTAATGAGTGGAAAGGTCCAAGTTGCAATGGCATCGCTTAAATGCACATTCCATTATGAAAACGCAACTATGTATCTGCGTATCGCTCGCCGCTATGCTCTTTTGTTTGTTCTCTCTTTATCTCTCTTCTCGGCGTCCAGTTTCTCTCGTGTTCTCTTTCCTTTGCTCCGAATCTCGTTGGTTCCGGTGATCTCTTTTGCTTTTTTCGTTACTGGCGCTTGACTTGCACCATACCTTCACCTTCGAGCGAAATATTGGCCTTCTACCACAGCTCCAGGGTAAATATTCGCTGCGTTCCAAGTTCCTTGGTCGTAGAATGTGTCTTTAAGTATTTTCAAAACTTTTTAGCACTCGGCTAGACGGCTGTCTGATACCTACGAATGGTTTCCGTAATGAGTATTTTGCTGTGATTTTCAAAATATTTCTTAAGTACCTCTTCCTTATCAGGAGTGCCACCTTCCATTCCGACTACACACGTGATCTTCAACTTTGCATCTGGTTGCGATGCAATACTAAAATAAACAACTAAGTTATTTCGTAATTATTCGACCTCTCAAATGTCTATTCTAGCTAGATATCTGCGGTACCTGTCAACGGTGTCCATAATAAGTTGCAGTGGCTCTTTGTAGATGCAAATCCCGACCAGATGTTTCACCAGAATGTTATCGGGATTGTTGCCCTGAACAAAAAACGTTAACAGCACCTTGACATTTCAGGAGTTACTAACGAAATTATTACTTACAGAAATTTCATAAGAAAATTCTGGGGCCTCATACGGTTGTCGAATTTCTGGGTCACTACTGGGTTTTGAGGCAGTGTGTCCAAAAAGTTGAGCCAATTTATTTCTGACGCATTTTCAAACGCTACGAGCAATATTCTCTGTTCTCATTGGTGATAGCAGGAAAACTACTTCATCCAATGTCATTGATAAAAGGACGTTAAGAGGCAATTCCGACCATCCACCCCTCCTTCCCGTCATTAGTGGGGTAGATTCCGGTGAGGGATCTAGCTCACCAACGACGCTGAATCGCTCGATGATTTCACCGAAACCGCACTGCCCTCCAGCTTCGTCATCGGTCCTTTTTGAAACCTTCGAAAGAAATGAATCCTCAGACCTTGCTGAGATCGATCTTGTGTGAGGCAAATCGCCGTAGGCGCCATGTGTATCGCAATGCGTTGAAGACAGCGACCATCCATAATAAGTGAAGAATTATGCAAACTATGGTGACAATCTCCAAGGCGAAGTCCTGGAATAATTGACATAAAAGTGATTTTTTTTGATACTTTGAAGGCAAGATTCGGGATAAAATAGGTGTGGAAAAGCGTTCAGTTATGAAGCTATAGGTGGGAGGTGGTCTGTAAAAGAGAAGGAAAGCAAACGAAACCACCGATTACGCCCCGTACAGACCTCCCCTATTTCAGCCGCATTCCACCTTGGGATAGAGAAGGGGCGCGTTGGACGAGTTTCACGAACCTAACTCTAGTTGCTCCAGTGCCAATAACATTGGTCGCAATGGGACCGCTGCCTCAAATGCGCCCGCGCTTTTCAAGCAGCGCCACGTGGCAACCGACAGCGGAGGGTGGGGCTTGCGGACGAAGGTGTGAGTTGCGGGTCGGACGAGCTCCTTGCGCCTTTGTCGCGCACTTTCAAGCGGCAAAAGGGGCGCGACATCAACGCTTGTCCGCCTGTCTACTACCCGGGATGGAACAGGCGAGCGCGCCTAATCCGGAGCGTGCCTTTAAGTGACGTTCCACTGGTATTAAGGAGGTACATACGCCAGGCATGGATAAGGATGCTCCATAGATCAATGCGAACTCGCACGCATTACTAGTAAAAAATAGTCGCCAATTATTGGCCATTTAGACGTGTGTACCGGGTTATTTACACTTTTCTATTGGAGAAATGCAAATGATGTTGCACTAAGTCTTCATGAAACATTTCAGGATGCGCCAGGTGTTCACCTCACTCGAAACTGTGGACGTGATTGGATGCATCTAGGATTGTCTACATATCAAATGCTTGGCTTATTAGCGTTGGTCGTCCATGCCTGGTATCTATCAGAAGGCTACCTTCCGTTCCGCTGCGCAGGTAATTTTTAACTTTGCATCCGGTTGAAATGGAAAACTTATTGGTAGTTGAAGTATAGGAATACCTCTGGCTTTGAGCATCGCACAGTTTTCAAAAAGCAATCAAGGGCGCGGTGCAATTGCGTTATTCAACCCTCTCACTTTCCTTTGTCCTGATCATTCATAGAGAAAAGGTGAAAATATGAGAAAGGATTTTAAAGAAGAAAAACTTCCAGAAGAAAGTGGACGCGGCAATTGAAAGTGATTAATCTTAGTTTAGAACATGAATTGAGGAAGGAGAATTACTTACGTTTAAGCCGGGAATGGCCGGAACCCACACTGACGAAGAAATGGAGAAGAATATCAAGAAAGTGAACAGCAAATTCCATCGAATATACTTGTTTGCGGGTTTGGCCACCCTTCCAGCATATGATTCTAGCCTAAAAGAAGACATCTTGTACAGCACCATAGTAGTACTACCATCTCCTCAGATTTCTGAGCAACTCAGTAATAGCACATTTCCTAGAACTCGCTCATCATATGAGAGAAGTGGGTTCGCAAGTGGTTACACCTACCACACCATGATTTGGGGAGCCAGGTTTGGATCAGACGCCAACAGCCCAACTAACTCCGAACTCTTTGGGGTCCGTAGGTTATGTTATGTTTATTACATGGCAAGCAGTATGACGCCAGATGACGAAAGCAAAAAAGGAAATAAAACGCACACCTGAACGAATTACAACGAGTGAACATTGAATAGACAATGTTGTCACATTTCTTACTAGGGGAAAGGAAGGGGAAACCGGCTAAATCGTCACTGAAATGCGATCCAGATATGATAAGGGGTGCTATACTTGTTGGGCAAAAACACCTGAATGTTCAACGGTTGGCATTCGCAATTTGTCGCATGGACTAAACAACAATTGGAGGCACTGGCCGGGATAGGATCGCCGGGTTATTTTGTCTGGAAATTAGACAAGTGGGACGATGGGCAACGAAACAATAAGCACAATAGAAAACGCTGAAGTTTTCCTAGTGAAGTCGGCCCTAGTATGATGAGAGACGCAACGCTGCCAGGATAGGGAAAACGCGAGAGAGCACATCGTATGCGAGAGGGCGTAGACGCCACATCCACCGCCATGGATAGAGTGGCAGCGCCGGCAGCGTCCAAGGCCGTAGCACCCTTGCCACGAACTTTTGTGCCGCGGCTCCTAGACTTGAGGACCCCTCTTTCTCTTCTTGGTGGGGCTATCTCTTGGCACCCGATTCCAGCCCGTGGATTCAATTGTCACATTAAGTGCCACTGCTATCCTAGACAGAAATAGAATGCGTGGCGCATCTCCATTTTACTCATGTTAATCCCATTTATTCCTTTACCATTTTGTCGCAGTATTTAGACTAGCCGAAAATAAATGTAAAGCCGAAAGTAAATGAAAGCCGTGAATAAGTAAAGATCGTTGTGCTATTCTTCTCGATTTTTCTCGACCCTCCGAAATCGGGTAATTTAAATCTTTCAACAATTCAATAGTGCAGAGTAGAAATCGAAGCCAGCAAGGTAGGTTCCAAGTAGCATCGAGTGGAATCAAGGAAGAATAAGAAGTCAGAAATTGCGCAGTGCTCACCTTCGCAAACTGCCCGCAAACCCTCTACGAACAGATTTCTTGAACGTGCTGAGAGCGCTCTCACGACGGCGGCTCGGAAATGGCTTGCCATCGGGTAATGAAAAAGATTTGTACTAAATTTAATTTTATATGTTTATATCATAAATATCCATATTCTAAGCCACTCATTGAAAGAAACTTACCACTTTTGGCTTCGCTGGAACTTTGTCTCCGATGATGATCTGCTTCAAATCTTCCGGCGAAAGGCTCATTTTGTCCCTCATCGCTGATCTTGGGTTTCACTTTGGGGGAGCCTAAGAAATTTTTCCCTTATTTAGTACGCTGTATAAGACAACCTCAAAAAATATAACAAACAATAACAAAAACGAAAACCTGAGAGAGCATACTGAGTAATAGGAAGAATGAAGTGACAACTATGCTTGAAAAATATGGATTGCTAGAACGCTTGAAAGATGATGAAGAAACAATAAATACTAATCAGCGTATTAATGAAAGGTCTTGCTTCGAAAATGAATAAAATTCATTTCAGCATCCAAAAAATAAAATTCGTCCTTCAGAGAGTACGACGATCAAGATGGCATTCGGAGACGAAAGTCGGAAAGCGGAGTTAGCCATCGGATCCTCGTTAGAAGCAATACTGTAAGTCAGTTTAGAGAGAGCACAGACACTGTTTCTCAGGGCAATCATATGATGATTGTTGTTGAATTCAACCACTATTTTTGCTGTCAAGCGTTGGTAATGGAAAAATTTGAAAATCAAAATTTGTTTGAAATGGTGACAATTTCAACGTGGGAGCAAGTAAGCAACCAGTCAGAATATTAGTCTTTCACCACGGTCGCCTAAATATACCGGTAGGTCTGAGGGCGGTCCGCACCTTTGTGTCCCGTGAGGATGACTACGAGGAGGGAGAGGGCCAGGCTGGGGAGGACAGGCGTGAAACAGCTATTTACTTTTGAGCGGACGAACGCGTCGGCTTCATTAAACCGTATTCGCACAGATGTTTTTCTTTGCGCTTTTCACGGCCATGTTTAAATACGTGGGCAGTGATAAGTCGATGAAACGTCATCCCCAGGATAGCAGCAATACGGAGACTAAAAGATTGCATCGTTTCAAATATTTGATGACATAAAATATAACAAAATTAGCAAAATAGGGAACGAGATAAATGAAATGGGAAATGGAGAGAAAAATTAAGTCTTGTATAGTGTAAATCTACTGACGCTACTGAATTCTCTGAAGACTTTTTGCAAAGGAAATCTTTTAGTCCGTCAAATGGAAAAAATTGGGAGAAACTTTCGGAAAACTATTGAAGTTATGGAGTTAGTGAGCTAGTTTGAAAAAATTCTCGAACTACCTTCCTACCCGATTAATAATTTATATCGCAGCAGGAAAATGCTTCAGATTTACGGGTCGCAAAATCATAAGTTCACCTAGGGACCAAATAATGGTAACTGGTCCATTTATATTGGTAATCAATTTTTACCGGTGAATTTTCGCTAGGACATCTGGCACATGAATATTTGAACCCTCGCAAGAATATGTAGTGAAACGGTTGTAAAATTCTCGAATTTTTATAGAGTAAACGTAAAGGCGATTTGTTATGTTAACCAGCTCTCTGAACTCACTATGGCATTTCCAATTACAAGCATTAAATCTTGTCAGTTATTACGATTTGGTTCGGTCCTACTCTCAAGTACAGGCTCAACCTTGACTTCTGGAAGTCACCAGTCAAGACAAGGATGAAGGAATTAGGGAAATTTGACGCATTTTCAACAGCATGGGGACACTTACGTTCCGCAATTTCACTTGAAGGAGACCTACTTTACTTGATTTATTCCTATACTTCCCAGTAACCACTGATGAAAATTCGTAAAAAAAATATTCGCTTCATGTGCACACAACATAGTCGCCAATGGGTTGAAGTGTGTAGTAGATACAATGCTTCAATTCAATTTGATTTAGATGTATATTGAACATGATAATTTCATTGGTCGAATAACTCATTGGGCTCCTTGTGGCGCGAGTCACATTGCAGTTAATTGCCAAACGTTAAAGGAATCTTGCGCGGAAAAATCATGATTCTATTTCAGCCATAAATCACTGGCTTGAGACTCATTATCCACGATAATAGTGAAAAGAACTGAAGTATTGCTTTCGTTTTGATTAGAAATTCGAAAACTCGAAAAGGCTGCTACGCGTTCGAATTGCCCACGGACGTCTTTCACGAATGCTGGCGACGGGGATGCTCAAACTTGGTTCTTGGAGTGCATTCACTAGAAGCTCTTTCTGGCCTTCTACTCCATCCTATTCCATCGATCGATTTGTCTCCACTCTCCGAAATCGCGCGCTTTAACCCGATTCTCTCATTGCGTCGCCTGGTACGTAGCCGGCCAAACGCCGTCTTCTTTCCATGCCTCGCCTGGCTCTGCCTCCTGGTCCTTCGATGGTCCATAACGTGTAGTTTTTGTACGTTTGTTTCTCTTCAGAAACCGAATCTTCATGCGTGAAACTTTGTGTGCTATTTCCAGTGATCACAACTGACATATTCATGTTAGGAAAGAGTGCAAGAATTTTCCGCGCAAGATTCCTTTAAAGTCTCCTGGTGATCGTAAATTAAGTTTGCTAAAGAGGTGAAGCTAAGAGCAACCAGCAGAATATTCGAATGCGCCATATATCTGTCTTCGTTGATCGGTTGAGGAAGCTGCGTCTCCTATCTTTTTTTTACTCAGCATCCTCGTTTTCACATTACCCTCCCTTTCAAAAAATGAGAAAAGCGTCGGGTGCAGACCATACACCACAAGTGACGACGGCCTCCAAGTAAATCTGGTTAGTAGTGGTTCATAGTGATAGCTGATTTTTGGTAAATGATAGTTGTAATTAGTGACAACTGATAGAATACAACTGCAACAGGCTAATCATTTCATTGGCAGAAAACATTTACATTTTGTGGAGGCCGTCGTCACTTGTGGTGTATGGTCTGCACCCGACGCTCTTCTCATTTTTTGGAAGGGAGGGTACAAGGGCAAGCACGATGGACGTGGACGATGTACGGTCAACGTCCACTGTCCACTGAGCTTCATCCTCGTACCATGGACGGCGCCATTTCCCACTGCACCATATTTAGCCTCAGTTTTGATTGCATGCGCTTATGTATTTACTGTGCATGTAGCGGATGGGGCGTTAAAAAAGCCACTCCTCGGCTCATTTGAAACGGAATTAATTACATCTTCCTAAAATGAAACCGAATGATACGAATTGAAAATCCAAGAGTACATCCCAGCTTGTCAAAAAAAACTTCATACTAGCCGTCTATATTTGAGACATCAGAAGATTTCTCCACGAGAACATGGTGTACGGTTTGAATTCAACCACGAGGGATCAGGGCCATTACGACCTTATCTGAGGAGCTGGTCGCCAAGGGTGTTTTATAAATAGAGTCACTTTTTCTAAGAGGATATCCATCAATTCACAGTTAAAATTCCCTCATTGGCGGCTCCCTGTGCGAAGAAAAGTTTGATGTGTGTCATAGGTGGAATGAATTTTTTGCCTTCCCCTCATAATATATCGCGTTACCAACAAATATGTTCAAACATGCATCGATATATGGTAATGCTAAGCTGGATTCCCTATTACTAAGCCATGTCTCCGAATTCCGTCTGAATCGCCGATGTGATGGGGGGGGGAGGGGGTATATGATTTATTCTGTAGTTTGCTGGTTCATGTCCACTTCAAATTGCCCTGGTGTTCTCGAAAACGAGTTGGGCGTTTGTCAAGCTGCAAACAAAAGTATCGCTCTGCGTGGGTAAACTCATTTATCAGAATGGGCAGGTCTCTGGTCATCAACCAGGGTGGTTCTATGGTATTCTAAGGACTTAACAAACAAATATTGTGGTAAAATTTGGGCAAGAAGATAAATGGAAGTTTGGGGAAGTTTCTGGGCGTAAGAACACTTGTCCTACTCTGAAACTGCTCAGGGCATCTTTTCCTTTTTCATTTTAGTTGTGCTTTGCAGTACGCAGATTGTCATATGGTTTTGAAGAAGCTGCATTTCGAAAATTTTTGAAATTGGGCATGATTGAATCAGTTCTGCAGTGTCAAAAGTAAATTCTTGAGTAAAAATTGTGCATAGGCCCCATACCCATAAATACACATAAATAATGGTAAGTACCCATCTCATACTGTCCACCATTGTGTTGGGTTCTCAAATATATGGTCCTGAAAATTTTTTCTCAGACTAGGCGTAGAGGTGGGTTTCAAGCATTTTTGCCATAAATTGGTAAGTTTTTTGCCCATCAATTAGTAAAAGTTGCAAGTATCGCGGTTTCTGGCCTCCGGTGTTGTTGACATTTACAGAGCCGAAATCATCATCCTTTGACCATTACGAAGGTCGGAGTCATTCATTCATTTCGGCAGTGAGACATAAAAATAAATAAAGGAATTCTGAAGAAGTAAACATCATTTGATGTTGGTGTGTGTGACAACAAATTTGATGAGTAACCCTGACCATTTCGTGCCACCCACGTCCAACAACAGTCCAACAGCGCATTTAGGTTTGGGCATCATCGCTCAAAGAGGGAACAAACATCAACCATAAACACCCGCGGATCAGTAAATCCGAAGTGCTCATAAATACTGTCGGCCGGGCGTTGGTCTCTCTGCAATTGCAGCGCAATTCCGTCTAGCGCAATAATTGGTAGGGTTGGTAATCCCCAATGAGTCATTATCATCATTGTTTTCTTTGGAACACAGTTCAGTTTCCGTTGGAATGAGTTCCGATAAAAGTAATGTACACAGAAATGACCATGTGTGACCTAGCAAAGAATTACATTTGTATTTATCGATAGACAACAGCTCAGACATGCGGAAACCTTCGAATAACTGAGTTAGGGGTCATCAATGAAAATTCTAACATCATAGTGTTCCATTTTTTTGAAAATTTGTTTGTCGCTTATTGCTCCCTATAGTTCTCTGCTTGCTAACTTTCTTAATCACGTTTCAATTGCTTATCTATCATAATAGAACCACATCAAACACAGGTTACCTAGAGGAAAAGAAACCTTCAATCTACCCTTTCTTGGGATGAACCAGGTATTCTAGCCGCGCAACTTTGTACATACCCTCCCTTTCAAAATACGAGAAGAGCGTCGGGTGCAGACCATACACCACAAGTGACGACGGCCTCCACAAAATGTAAATGTTTTCTGCCAATGAAATGATTAGCCTGTTGCAGTTGTATTCTATCATTGTCACTAATTACAACTAT